GAAGGGTAAAATGAGTATATTATTATGAACAAAAATTCACAGTATGGCACATGTAGACACTTTCTAAAAGTGATTTTAGAGATTAACATATAGCAAAAAATAAATACATAAAGATATCCAGGAGGAAGAATGGGAAATAATAAGTAGAGAATTTAATGACTTTTTCTTTTTACATCAATTAGTAATGACAACTTCGGAGTCTAGGAATATGATGGAATAGATACTCAGGAAATTTCTCCACTAAAAAGGATTCTGAAAGGTATATAAGGCACATGGCTGTTCAGTCACAGGATAACTGAATTCTGGAGAAAATGGCTGCTAAGAACCAAAGAGGAGGGTCAGATTCCAGAGGCAGCAATGCCAGAACCTATTCCTTCACAGTGTGAGGAAGAGGGTGTGGCCTCCATGAGCTGAGGCATAAAGATGGGATTCTGAAGTGGAGGAGTGGAACTTGAAAAATATACAGTTATTTGAAATTATAGCTCCATGTTGCTTGGGCAGATCCAAAATTCAACCACGAGAAAGATGGATTGTAACATCTAAAAGGCATCAGAGGGGTAAGGGTGTGTCAAGGGGCTAGACAGCGGGGGGGGGGGGGGGGGGGGAGGGGAGGGCGGTGTAAGACTGTGTCAAGGGGCTAGACAGCGGGGGGGGGGGGGAGGTGTAAGACTGTGTCAAGGGGCTGGACAGCGGGGTAAGAGTGTGTTAAGGATGTTGGACATTAGGGTAAGGGTGTGTCAAAGGGATTGGGGAGAAAGCTCAGTAAAGTGCTTCCTGGGGACCAGAGTTTGACTCACAGCATCCATGGAAATGCTGAACACACCTTTGTCATCCCAGTGGGGATGCAGAGTCTGGCGCATCTCTCAAAATCCAAATCCAATCCAGTCCTCTTCTATCCAGAAAATGTGTGAAGGGGTAGTGATATAGATGAACTTGGCAAACTGCACATGGCATGCTAAGACGGGCTGTGCGTTTGCGCTGAGTAAAGTTGTCTTAGAACACAGACACAGCAGGGGTGACATGAGTAACTACATGCCAGAGGCGAGTAGCTGTAAGAGAGTGTGAATGCCCTTGCAGCCCCTTATAGAAAATAATTTAGCAGCTGCTCTTCTAGAACATCAGGCAGTAGGCTCAAAGTCCAGAATCCTCTCTGCTAGGTCTATATGGGCATAGTCTCAGGAGCTGGTATAAGAAAACTGGCTTGGGCTCAAGAAATGGCTCAGCAGTTAAGAGCACTGACTTTTCTTCCAGAGGTCCTGAGTTCAATTCCCAGCAACCCCATGGTGGCTCACAACCATCTGTAAAAGGATCTGGTGCCCTCTTCTGGGGCGCAGGTAAACATGCAGGCAGAGCACTGTATACATAATAAATAAATAAAAAAGAAAGACTGACTTTACTTTAAAAAAGAAGAAAACTGGCTCATTAAAGAAGAAATGTGAAACTATTTGATAGTTTATTGTTTAGTTTTTTAAAATACTTATCTATTTTTATTTTATGTGCCGTGGTATTTTGCCTGCATGGATGTTTGTATCGTTGCCAGATGCCCTGGAATTGGAGTTACAGACAGCTGTGAGCTGCCATGTTGGTGCTGGGAATTGAACCCAGGTCATCTGGAAGAGCAGCCCGTGCTCTTAACCACTTACCCATCTCTTCAGCTCCCCACACTTCACAATTTAAGCAAAGCTTTACATGAAACATATAATTAAGTATTAAAAAGAAAGATACACAGTTAATAGAGGAAAATACTAAAATACACACTTGAGAGCTTATGACAGAGAAAAAATATGTTAACCAAGAATCTTGGAGAAAAATATCAAAAATTAATGATTTTAATTATAAAAACATAAGTGGATTTTGTTCCTTAGGGGAATAACAGAAAAATTAACAGATGGTAAAAATGTAATTATCATGCTGACTACTTAGACCCTTCTGTTGACCCTGGAAAATCAGGAAATAGAAGGGAGGTGACTTGTAACATGGGGAAAGAGCATAAACCAGCAATTTGTAGAAGACATAGTATACATGACACTATAGCAAACAAGTGGGTTACAAGAAAGAGATACCATTTTTAATGAATGATTTTTAGAATTTTGTACATGACTTCTGTATTGTGTGATGTCTATACTCTCCCTTTCCCACTTCAACTCCTCTCTTGACTCCACCTCATGTTATTCTTTGATTATTGATGCACACACACGCACACACACACACACACACACACACACACGCACGCACGCACAGAGAGAGACATACATGTTCATATAGATACAGTCAGCTGAGTCCATTTAATGCATTTAGTTCTTATGCACTTTAAGGCTGCTCACTTGGGACCATGCAGCCTATCACCGGAATTGTCCCTGAGGAAGACTGAGTCTTTCTTTCTCAATAGCAGTTATTTTCCTGTCACTCCTCATTGGGGAGTGAGCCTTGTGCCATTTTCCCCATCCATCACGAGCCCACTGTTCAACTGCTGGAGCCATTTTTCAGGTCTCACTTAGGCCTGGGAGTGGGGTTGGCTTGGGTAGGCACTGGGGCAAGCTAGTGAGTGAGCTGTGCCTGAGATACCATTTCACTCCCAGTCATGAAAACAGATAGTGCCAAGTGCTGACAAGGACAGAGGAAAACGTTTGCGTGTTGCTCTTGGCAATGCAAACTGGTACCTGGCTCAGAAACCTAAAACCTTGTTCTAAGGCTACATGAGTCACCTTAGGATAGAAATCATAGTGTTATCCGTGATAAAATGTGATAGCTAGACTATCTCTTGGGCGGGAGCGGACTGTACACAGATGCCACAGTGGACCTCTGTGAGAAGAAAGGAGCAGCCAGGAGCTGTTTTCAGTGCAACCGTGTGGATAAAACAGAATTAAGAAACAGATGAGATTTAAAACAAATAATTCATATATAATTAAAATTAAATGTTTTGGAGAGCACTCCATATTTTGACAGATGGAAGACATGTACACAAATCTATAAAAAAGATAAACACTATATTAACTGTGCTACAGCAAATCTCCGAGTTGCAAGGAGATTCAGAAGATAAAAAGGGAAAAAAGACCAAAGGAGTACCAACCAGTCAAGGACTCGGGATAACCACAGCTCATCAGTTAGAGCCTATGCTTAAGTCAGGTTTGCCCAATTACCTGTAAATGGAAACAAATGTCAGGGCCGTTGTTCCTTCCAGCATTGCTAGGCTGTTGCTTAACAGTGTCATTAGGTGTTGGCTTGTGTCTCAGCTGTTTGCTAAGCTGTTGCTCGAACAGACTGAAGGTTCAGCTTTAAGAAAGGACCTTTCCTGGCATGGGCTGTGCTCAGTTGAGGGAGTTCACTGTCTTTGGTTTTCTCATGTCCACTCCCAAAGGATTAGTACACTAGGGGATTACAGGTACTGGAGTCAATTCCCAAGCCCTGGATTCAACAGTAAGGAAAACCCTAACTTTAGAATGTGTCACCAACCGTAGAAAATTCAAGGAAATGTGGCTGCAGCTAGAGGAAGTACAAATTCATGTTTTTGATAGCTGCCCGGAGAGCATGCCTGAGAAACCATTTGGGTAGACACTGTTTGAAAGCCTTACTAACTTAATGTTTATGAGCTGATTTAAATAGCTTACAAACCAGTATCTCTATCCTTGACGTGAGTCTTCCCACCTGGGCCCTGAGCGTTCGCCGTGTGCCAGGTTCCATCCGCTGCAGTAGAGGACCATTCCATAGCTCTCATTTTAAACAGTTGCCTCTCCAAATCATCATGCAGTTATTGATCTACTTGAAAACAGCCTTCCTGTTTTTAACTTCATCCTTTGTTTTCCCGATTCTTTGTTCATCTTTCAGTGCCTTTTCTCTTATAGGTTGGTCTCTGGCCATCAGTTCTGTAGTGAGCTGCTCCTGACTTAGAAAAATGTAAGGACCTTGGTCACTCAGTGGTCACCGGTGTGTAGACATCACCTAGTTAAGATTATTCCTGGAGCATGGGTGGCTTTGGTCCATGCTGGCTGCCAAATGCTCAATTTCATTTCTTTCTCCCTCATTTTCATTCTCTTTCACAATGCCGTGGCAAAAGACGTGTTATAAACATCTTCGAGTAGGAAGGATTTATTTTGGTTCAAGGCTTCAGAGTTCTTGTTTACAGAAAGTAACAGTGGTGGAAGCAGGTTCTTCATCTCATGACAGGTAGCAGAGAAAGAGAGACAGTCGCCAGAAAGCAGGTGACTTCAAAGCCCACCCCCTCTACACATCATATACCTCTGTCGACCAATCCCCTTCCTTTAAATTTTCAAGACCCTCCCAAAACATCAGCACCAAGTTGCTCAACACAGAAGCTTCTGGGGGACATTTTGCGTCAAATTGTATCACTGTCATGGAGCCTCTCCCAGAAGGAGGACATGGAAAAATTAACATGATTTACCTGTTCTGTCTCTGGGTCAGCCAGGAACTAGTCTCATCTGAAACTCGGTTTTGTTCATTCCCTCCTTCCCTCTCTCATGATGGCAATGAATTATAATAATTTTCGGCGGATGTGTGTTTTGTAATCGTAGGCGAGGTCAGACAGTGTTTGTACTTGTGCTAAATTGCTATTGTACAAACAAAGATAAAAGCCTTTGAAAGAAGCTTTTAACAATTACATTTGGACTTAGCCCTTTCCAGTGAATATTTCCATGTTGGCAGAGATGATGAAATCAATGGGAAAAGTAAGTATTCCAACATGTAGGACCCTGTGGATTTGAGGGTCCCGAAGGGCCGGAGAATTTAGGCATGAAAGGCTGCTTTGTCCTCCACGGTCCAGCTTCTGCTTCACAGCCTTCACGGGAAACAAGGCAGCAGTGGAGGGAGATGGGAATAGTCCTAGGAGACTTACCTGGAGCTCTCCTAAGGGAGATTAACGAGTTTAAACGGCATCCTCTTTGCATCTAAGAAATCTTTATTAATGGAAGTTGCCCTCTTTAAAGGGATGAACCAAGTCGTTTTCTCTTTTGAACACTCATTTCCTAAATTATGTTCTCTTTCAGATTCACTGTGAGACCATGTCATTTAGATTTGGTCAGCATCTCATCAAGCCCTCTGTGGTTTTTCTCAAAACTGAACTGTCCTTTGCCTTGGTAAATAGGAAGCCCGTTGTACCTGGCCGTATCCTTTTCTTGTAAAAGAATCATGTGAACCCAACCAACCAAATTCATATAGAATCAGTCTTTAGCATCTGTCCACGAAAGGTAAGCAAAGCAAGGAATCTCCGTCCCTCCCCATATGGAGTAACCAGGTAAGATGTTATTCATATGTATTTTGAATCCAGTTGGTGGCACCCGTAATATGCTTGAGCAATGTTGCAGAACTTCTGAGGAGGGTTGCTTAGCAACTGTAGCTTTGGAGGGGAATTTTTGGTTGACCTTTTCACTACTATAGCTGTGTAAATAAATAGGTGTTTCTAAAATTGGTTCAATGAATATCATGGGCACTTTGAATTTCTTTTATTCGTTGTGAATTTTGATGGAGGGTTAGAAACAGGATGGTGATTCTGTACGGTGGGGTTAAGGGATTACAGTAGAATTAAAGTTTCTTTTCTTAATGGAGATTGTTTAATTTATTCACTTATTTTACTTTATTTAATTTTTGTGATTGTAACATTATTACATCAGTTCCCCTTCCCTTTCTTTCCTTCCTTCTCTTTCTCTGTCAAATTAATGGCCTTGTTTTTCATTAATTGTTGTTAGGTACATATATATGTATGTTGCGGGAGGTCCTCCAACTCCTCCAGCCTATAGCTGCTGAGATACCAGCCCATTGGGGCGTGGTCTCTCTCCCTTTAAAAAAGCGGCCACTTCCCTCTCCTCTCTCTCTTCACTTCCTGCTCTGCTGGCGACTAGACTCCCTTCCTGGTTGCATAGAGGGCTGTTGCCTGGGACTGTGATCTGTAAGTTTTTTCCCCTTTAAATAAATACCACCCTATTAATCATAATTCCAAACTGGTGTGGCATTTTTTGTGACTTACGCCTTCATATGTATATGTATGTATGTATATATATATATATATATATATATATTCTCTAGATAAACCTGCTCAGTCTATATATTGTTTCTTGTATGTGTATTTCCAGGGCTGAAGATCTGATATTGGATAACCAATTGTTGCGTCTTCCCTAGGCAAGGCTATGTCTCCCACTCTGCAGTCCTTAATTGCCTATAGTTCTTTGTATAGGGCTGAGGCCTCAGGGTCTTTCCCCCGTCCACCTTCTTACGTCTATTGGTGTTTGGACCAATACACAGTCAGCTCAGGTTTGGACAGTCACACTGGTGAAACTTTATGGTGTAGCTTCCGACTTTACCAGGAGACACAATCTAACATGCTATGAATGTGATCTGTGCTGGAATGAAAATGCCATCTTGTCTTCGGAAAAACACTGGTTTCCAGACCATTCTCAGTTGCGAGTGCTGGATGAATTTTTTATTTTGTTGGGAGAATTTTCCCGCCACTGAATTCTGCAGCGACAATTAGAATGGGTGGGACGCTCAGAGAAGGTGATTTATTTTGTGTTGAACATATCACTCCTGGAGTTTCCACAATGCTCTTCTCTTCCTCCTTAATTTTATTATGCAATGGGTAACAAGGAGGAGGCTTCCTATTTTAAGATAATGGGTCTTTTCCACACTGAACCATGATTTGCTTTGAAGTTAATTCCTTAGGATAGTCCTCAATGTAAAAATGTTTCAAGATATTTTTGGAGTAAATTTTTCAGTGAAAGTGTTTGAAGTTCTTAAGAACTTCATGAATAACTTGCTTCCTTAGTCATGTGAACTCTTCTTGGTTGAAAGGAAAAAGGAAAATCAACCCCCAGAATAAAATTGTGATTCTCTACTAAGCTCTCAGTCTAAGCCCGAATTTTACCTCATTAAATTTTGCAAAATTATAAAAAAACAATGAACAGGGAATCAATGTATAAATAATGCTGGATAACTACTCTTCCCTCTGAGTAAAGATATCCTCATTGGTTTCTGTGACTTTCCATTCCTTCTGCACACATTGACTCCTTCAACCCTTGCTTACCAAGCCCATACTCTACTCCTGCCACCATGCCACATATCCCAAGCTGCCTCAGAATGGATGCGCTGTGCATCCTTGGTTGTCTCTGCATAGGCCTTCCCTTCTGCACAGAGGACTTGTTCTTTACCCGTTTTTCAAGCATCCTGAGTCCTGTAGTAACCGAAATTAAAGCGGAAACTGCAAACATGGAGAGCAAACACCGCGTGTAATGAATGCACCGAGGGAATAAGGGCCTGCTGACTTCTGTCTTTATGGCCACACCCAGGGCCAAATCACGCCACCACGCTGTTCCAGAGTTTCTAGTCGTGTGTTCAGGCTGGCTGCCCTGATTTTCCCCATCCTGTTTTCCGTGGTGTATTGTTTGTCTCGGGGGTGAAGGGGACGTCTAAATAGAGTAAATGAGCTTATAAACGCCCTCAGTTGACAGTACTGTATTTTCAGGATGGTTTTATAGCAACTTCAGGTAAAATGGAATTTTTTACTTTGAATACTTGTTTTACCATTTTTAAAATGACGTCTAGGCACCCTGTGGGGAGTGTGCCATTGATGAGTGACTTGTAAGCACTTTTATTTTAAATTGATGGCCCCACTGATATTTGGTTGTTCTGACTAGCCCCTTTTCCCTTAGGATTTTGCTTCTTGCCTTTAAAAAGAAAATGCCTGCACGTCTGTTGCATTTCTGTGTGGGCACACATGTGGAGGTTAGGGAGAACTCGGGTGCCAGGGCTCAGCTTTCCTCCTGTGTAAGCCTGGCACTCTTACAGTTTGTTACTGGGTGCACAGACTAGCTTCTTGGGAGTCTCCTGTCTGTGCCACCCATCTGACTACGGGAGTTCTGGAATTGAATTGCATGCATGTGCTACCATGTCAGGATTTTGCATGGGTCATGGGCACATACTTGTGGCCTCAGGCTTGGCTGACAAGTCCTTCACCCACTGAGTCCTCTCCCTATCTCCCTGGCACTGGAGTTTTGTCACTTTTGTAGTAGAGAAGGAACTGTCCGATCAGGGGCCAAAGGTATGCTTTTGAAGCAAGACGATGCTTCATTCACAAAAGCTCCACTCCGACTCCTTCTCTCACACAGAAATCACACACTCCCATTCCTTGCCAAGTCCTCAGAGCTAACTGAATCGGCTCTGGCCTCTGTGGTGCGACACTCCAAAAAAGAATGTCAGAGCGTCTTTAATCCATTAATTTCTGGGTACAGGAAAGTGCTTTCCGAGCTTGCGTGGTGAGAGGACAGAATCGTTTTTGAAGAACTGCATCTTCAGGATTTTGTTGAACGTTTTATTCATATGTTTCAATGCAACTCAGCTCTGGTTTATGGCTTAAATAAATTGGCACATTACAGTTAGTGCTTCTCCTTGCCCCTCCCCTTGGGTTCTGCTTTGTCCACCTCTCCTCTTGAGTTGAGCATGAAAAATGAATTTGAACATGAGTGGAATCCATTTGGTGACTCGGGCTTTTATTGTAAATAAAATCACTCATTTGTTATGTCCCGTTGTTTCCAGCAGACAGGGTATTGATCTGTGGATTGCTATTCAGAACAGTGCAAGGCGCCCTCGCGGAAGAGGGACAGAGCAGTGTTTGTGGAGGCTTTGGATGTGGCGTGTGATGGAGACAAACCTTGCTCACTGGTCATACTGCATTATACAAATCATTTGTCAACCGTTTATTGAATCAGCTATTACAAGGAACCGATTCTCCGGGCCAGGCGCGTCGCACACAGAATGCTCTCAGGACCAAACAATATTAGGATGATGCATGGCCGACGGCCTTCCAAAGTGTATTCGTGAAGAATTAGAGGAGGGAACGTAAAGGACATTTCTGCTGACACGTTACCAACAAAAAGTTTGCTGCGGTGGGAACTGTGCGGTAAGACGCAGCCCCAGCAGCCAGGAGAGAAAACCCTGACAAACACTTTTCCATTCCAAACTTTTACCATTTCTGGTGAGGAATGCTCCCTTCTCTGACTTCAGACCATTACCACAGTTGCTCCCGAAATAAATGAAAAAAAAATAATAAAAATAACTTCTTTTCTTAACTGTGCTTCTTGCAGAATAGATACTATAGATTTTAAAAAAAAAATGCCCTTTTAGTCCTTCCGTACAGATCAGAAATATTTGTCACTTCCTGAGTGGGTTTTAATCTTGCGAATTCCTTTAATTGTTCAGGAAAGCACAGTTATTAGTGATCTGCTGATCTTTCATTTCTCAGCACTGTTTCTTTTTAAACCTTCCTGTACAAATAAGACAGCATAAGCACTATTTTAATAGCCTTATTGCTAAAGATAGAATTTTGATCTTTAAAGTGCCACGAGCACATGTCTCCGCACGGCTCTGTGTATCAGCAGGCTTAAATATTCCTACAGAGATCTTTAGAAGTGTTCTGCTTCCTTGCCCCTAGCTGTGGTGGGACATTTGGTTTACTTGTGGTCGTATTTTCAAGTTGGCAGATTACAATGTTCAAAGGTGTGCACAGGGTGGCGATTAATCAACCGGGAGAGAATTCTACATGAATATGCCCCTCTTCTTGGGCTGTTAGGAGTTTATCCACCTGCTAATAGCAGCCCACCATGGCACTGCTGTGGGAACATGGCTCCATCTTGAATGCTTATCCCCACCCCACCCCCTTCACTCCGTCTAGAATGCCCCACAGGGGATCCAGTGCATTTCTTTTAGAGGACAGACCTCGTGTGACAGTCATTTTTCTTACGGGTTATCCCGTATTATAGGAAATAACTATATAGAAAACAAGTCGGCTTTATCCCAAATGTCAGCTCAGGAGGTGATGGAGAGTTGATAATGTCAGGGGTGACTCTGAGGTAGCATTTAGGGTTAGCGGGCAGCATTTATCAAGGGTGCCAGAGGCTTAAAAAAAAAAAAAGGAAGCCCTTCCTGCCAGGCCCTCTTCTTTCCAAGGTTCCTTTTGGTTCATAGACCTGAGACTTGTTCTTTAAGTGTCTACCTGACGATAGATGGGTAGGTATCTGACCCTGAAGGAATGCATCAGATAGGTGTTTTGTACCTGTTTAAGGAAGGTCGGAAGTAGAATGGGGAAGTACGTACAGACTCCTCCCATAGGCCCCATG